TGCCAGAGCAGAGCCATCGTAAAGATTTACGGTCTACCACAATTTGTTCTGTAGATCCTGAGGGCTGTACTGACATTGATGATGCCCTCCACTGCAAGCAGTTGTCAACGGACAGATTCGAAGTAATGTTCTACAAAAAATCATTTTCGCTTTTGCTAAAGAAATGGAAAATTAGTTATGCTTCCTTACTTCTTTTGCTTTATCCCAAAACATTTTAGCAGTTCTATGCGTAGCTTCATGCTGGCATTGTTAATCATCTACTACACTCTATTATCCCTAGAAAAGTACTATTTAGCTAACTTTGCAGGTCGGAGTCCATATTGCGGATGTAACCCACTTTGTTCGCCCCGGTACAGCCCTAGATGCCGAGGCTGCTGAGAGAGGCACTACAGTATATCTTTGTGACAAGTGGGCTAATAGTTAATTAAATAGATTAAAGTCTTTGGTTTATTTTTTAAAATTTATTCTTTTTGGTCACTGCATTTCCTTTATTTTTAGTCTTAATTTATTTAGACGAATTGATATGCTTCCTGAGCTTTTATCAAGCAATTTGTGCTCACTTCAAGAAAATGAGGATCGTTTTGCCTTTTCTGTTATTTGGACTCTTAATTCTAATGCTGATGTTATTAATGTTCGATTTCATAAATCTCTAATTCGATCAAGTGGCGCTTTGACTTATGAGCGTGCACAAGCCATGATTGACGATAAGACCAAGGTAAAAATGTAACCCCATAGCTTATCGATAAGACACCTATTTTTTAACAAAGAACCATGAAGAACAGTGGATTAAAACTGGAATTTATGATAAAGCGCTTCGTTTTTACATGATTAAAGCTATACAAATATTCTTTTCCTACACGTAACTTTTATAGAATGATCCTGTAACAGTAAGTCTACGTGGTCTTATGGCCTTGTCAAAGAAACTAAATGCCAAGAGGCAAGCAAATGGCGCGCTGACACTTGCGTCTTCTGAAATCAGATTTAATATAGATAGCGAAACCAGGGATCCGTTAAGTGTGCAAGAAAAGTGTCACTTGGATACTCATAGTATGGTAGGTTATTAGTTTATATTAGTTATAAAGTTTGATTTAGTTTAATAGTTAGGCAAAGAAGGTTCTTCACGAACAGTTAGCTCACTTTTATTTCAATTGCGGGTTTTGCTTTTTTATTAAGCAGTGTTTTAAGGGAGAAAATTGTTCACCTTTCCGGCCCGAACAGTAAACATTTTTAAGCCATCTTGGTTTTTAAAAGCACATCATTTTTGTTAAGATCTTTGAAACATGAGAATTTATACAAACAAATGGCACTAGTGAAGTGCAAAAAAACTGAATTGGTTTTTCTTGAGTAAGTTTCCTTGTATAAAACGTCTCTGAATAGCCGTCGTTCTAGCATTGCAGTCCTTTAGAAGTCGTTCTACTTTGAAATGAAAGTTTTTGCCAAGTTTGATGTGCTCAGTCGATGGAGATTATTTACCACCGTTTAGTGTATTTTGGCAGTTTTGTGACTATCTAATCTCATTCTTTTGCACTCAGTTCAGCTCGCAGGGTTAAACTTCGTCAGCTTTTCATACTTTCTTTTTTTCTAAATAAATGTTTTTCTGCGCATAATATTAGTCTCTTTTCCCAACTTAAGCGTAATGAAGGCTAGGCACACGTTTATCATACCGTTCAGATCATGATTGTCAGTTGCCCGCGTATGAGCCGTTTTGTCATTTTAGTTTTCGCATCATTTCTACAAAAATTTTCGCTATGAAATCTTCACTGTGGAGTTTTTGCGAGTTTTTTTGATATCAGAGTTCAAAATATTTCAGCGGTTTTTGATCTGCCTACGTTATAATGAAACAAACACTGAGGTTATGAATGAAACAAACACTGAGGTTATGAATGGGGGAAATATAAGAATGTTTTTTACCACTATTTTACTGAATTGGTTTTTGGAGAGACCGAGGTGGATGTTTTGAGTTCTAGACAGAGGGCAGAACTTCAACGTTTAACGCATTTAATGGCTCGTTGAACTTTCGCTGAATATCTTTGTAAAAACTGAAGCTACCTTGGAATTAGCAACTTTTAGTCTGTCATTGCATTAGTTTACATTAGCGATGGGAATTTTAACATTTTTGATGACTATTAAAAAGTGAAAGAAACTTGTGCAGAAGTTTAGGTTGAAGAGTTTATGCTTCTTGCGAATATATCGGTGGCGGAGAAAATATGTGCTGAGTTTCCAGATTGTTCGTTGTTAAGAAGACATCCTGTACCGGAGAAGGAACGGTACAAGCCTGTGATAGAGGCAGGTTTTTTTGAACTATTGTTCGTCGCGTAACTGTGAAATTTTTTTCTTGATCGGTTTTATGGTTGTAGGCTGCAAAAGCTCGTGGTTTTGCTTTCAATGTAGAAAGCGGTAAAACTTTGGCCGAAAGTCTTGATAAGGCAGTTGATCCTAAAAATCCTATGTTGAATACTCTTTTAAGAATGATGACTACTCGATGTATGACACAAGCCGTTTATTTTTCGTCTGGTAAGCACTGTTTTTATACTTGAGAAGGGCAAAGCGGTAGTGTTCCTTCCTATCACATATTTGCAGGATCTCTCCCCTTTGACCAATATGTTCATTTCGGACTTGCTGCCCCTATTTACACTCATTTTACCTCGCCGATTCGGAGATACGCTGATATTATGGTTCATCGTTTACTAGCTGTGGCTATTAAAGCAGATACTTCTTTTCCAAGTATGCTCAATGGTGAAAACGTGAAGAGGATTTCACACAATTTGAATTACAGGTTGGTCCTGCATGATTTTGAATCATTTTTTTATTTTTGAACCTGCATTCTTTTCTTTGTTTTAACTACTCGTTGGTTGTGCTTTTCAAATCCTTACCGTCCAATAATCTTTCTTGTAGAGTGAATAGTTTCCTGCACTTGGATTAACTAGTGCATTAAATCTTACACTTTTTGTTCAAAATGTTATATCTGTTACTTTTGATGTGTTCTAGGCATAAGCAGGCACAGTATGCAGGTAGAGCTTCAGTTACTCTGAATACACTCTTATATTTTAAAGGGAAAACGGAAGTTCACGAAGGTTTTATAATGGGCATACGAAAGAATGGACTACAAGCAAGTCTCCTTGGAAATATACTCGTAGTTTATAATCACAAGCTGTGTATAGTTACTTATGACTGATTTTATTTTCACTCTTATTTGTTTTCCTTTCAGGTATTTGTTCCGAAATATGGTTTTGAATCTGTTGTTGTTTTTCCGTCCGACGCCAACTATGAGGTTACCGATGACAAACTCATTGCTAAAAATATTTCGGTCAGAGCTTTTCAGCGTGTAAAGGTTCAACTAAGTTTGAATGAATCAGACCTTCACCGTGTTCGGTTAGATATGAAACTGGTTGAGCCAAGAATACCAGGATTTAGCGTTGACTTCGTTTTATCAGCACCGGAATCTTAGTTAGGTTTATTGTAGCATGAAAAGAATTTTCAATTTTAGAAGCAGCGCTGTTTTATCAATGGATTGTCTAAGTTTGTAGTTAGTTAGATATTAGCAGCTAGACTGTCAAAAAGGCTTTAGTAGTTCAATATTCTTCTGATTTGCATTTATTTCGTTCAAGGTTTGACACTTTACTTACGTCTGCTGCGTAGGAAGTTCTCATTCTGACCTTTATCAGAGTTAAACAGTGTTGTTACAGCTATATTTATATGGGTTTTAAAACGGTACATTGTCTCATTGACATAATTTTACTGCGTGCTAAAAGACTTTTTTGTGCATTTTTTTGGAATAGAAAAGTTAAGTAGAATGTTTTATTATTTTACTGTTGGTCTTTAAAAATGTTTTGATGATTTTTCCGCATGAGTTTATTCTTCATAATTGTTGTCGGAGTTTACTGGTTGCTAATTGTTGCTTCTCGTTGTTGTTATTGTTGAAGTAAAATATTTGTTAACTGTATTGCCTCCCCCTTGGCTTAGTAAGCAATGGTTGGTAAAACAGCGCTACACGTGTTATTTTACCAAAAAGATTGCTGGAGAACAAAATGTCAAGTAGCGTTATTATGCTTGCTTATATTACTATATACTGAACAGTATAGTTCTCCTACAACTACTAAGTTCGAATTTTACTTTTTTGCAGAGTGAATTGCATGCTGATCGCTTTTTTCTTTAAATATTTTAAGGATTTTTATTCTACATTTTTTGAGAAGGTATTTTTTGGAAGATGACAAAAAACTTTCTGAAGTTCTGGTATTTGTGCATTCTGCAATTGTGAAGTTCTGAGATTACTTAACAAACAAAGTAATTGAAGCGAGTTAAAAAAATGGCAGTTCTTGTTGGGGGGAGTACTGTACAGTGTTCGCAAGAGAACGATGGTAGTAATAGTGACGGTGCTTTTTGGTGGTTCTCTGCTTCTCTACATCAAACCCGTCGAAAATTACAAACACTATGCAGGAGGTTGCAATAAAGGCTCGGCACGAAAGCAGTTCCTCTACGGTGACGAGAAGTGAAACACTCGCAGCACCCTACCGGTCCATCCATGTGGCCGTCCTTAGGCTGTGTGAGAAAGTCCCTGAACCAAGGGCCGAAAGGGTAATAAGAACAAATTGATTGTTCGTCTGACCACCATTAGCTGGTGCAGCCGGTACATTTGGAAGTTGCGCCACGACGGTTATTTGCCTGAGCGTTCGACGTCCATCCAGTACCGGTGTTCGTTCTAAGCGAAGAAACGTTTCTAATAACAGCATAGGGCTTACTCTCTTGGTCACCTTCATGTTTTACTTCCGTTGATTCTTCACTATCTTACGAGGACAGTAATAAACTGATCACTAAACGATTTGCAACTTAATGGTTCAGTATGTGTACTTTTGAAGAACAGAACAGAGTTTCAACTAGTTGTTTAAGTGTGACAGTACAGTGACTGTTAGGCGGGTAGTCGAGCGCAAACCACTAAAATTTTGACAGCCTTTATGGCTGCATATACGCATGTATATGTATATAGATTTACTTCTCCATTTAATGCTCTTAAATCTTTGGGAACGGAAAGTGATTTCTGAGATAACAGTTTTGTTTATTATGCGACACCATAAGTTTCAGTCAGTACTTTAGGTACTGTAGTAGTTGGAGAAGGCCCACGCTAATGTAAATATCGATTCAATATCCGAAAGTTTGATTGATTCCTTTAAGACTGTCCAGTAATGTGCTAGAATTTTTTAAAAACAAAGAGAAGGACAAAGAACATCAGTGGAACACCTGTTTAAAAGAACCGTTTCTTGAAAATATGATCACAAAATGTTGCTCGTAGACCAAAGACTGTTTAGGCTAAAAAAAAGTTTTTTTCAATTTCCTTTTCCTAACTGGGAGTACATATTTTGACATCGTTACGACGGCTGGGTCGTTTCTAACGCTGACGAACCACGAGATGATTTTCTACTGAGTCTCTTGCTGAACTGAAACGGGAGTTTCTTCGCCAGTTAACTCCCTGTTTCTCTTTAAAAGAAGGTCTTAATGCGGAGTGCTCAGTACTATGTTCAAGAGGTCACTAGTTGAACGTCGTTGCGCTTTGCGCAGAAGCACCCCCCACTTTCGTCATGACTAGAAATTTAAATTGTTTGGATTGTTTGTTGTTCAAGTTTTAATCTTTCCCACTTGTACGTCTGGAAAACCAACGCTAATACAGCGATTGCAATGAGTTTGCATCTTCAAACTTGAATTTATAGGACGCGCAAATTCGAAAACTGTTCTTTCTTATGCTTTTTAAACGTTATCTTTGATCAGCTAAATATCTGCAAGAGGAAGGAATTGAACTTTAAAAGGAACAAAATTTAATAATTTATTTTGCAACAGTAAAATTCAGAAAAGTTGTTTGGTCCTCCACGACATAATAATATAAAAACGAATTTTTTAGTGACTTCTCTAGCGTCGTCAGAAAAAAGCAAGTAAGGTGCAGATGAAGATAGAAACATGTGATTGCAAAATCATACTATCGTAAACTACAATAAGTGTTCTTACTGACCCCAATGAGTTATCAGAAGTATCACTAATGTAACTGCGGTGTGTTTGCGATTGTCCAACGATCTTGTATAATCGGGAAGCTTCTCTATCAGTCCACCAAGGGTTCCTTGATCCTATACACTTTTCCCCCAACAGCTGCCATCACTTTCAGTGTCGGCCTAATTTTACGGGATTGCGTTTCATGCGAATTTGCATTTGGAAGTTAACTGTGTTCCCCTTAACTTTACCAACTGCAGACTCAAACTCAACAAAATGTGGGTTCAGTAACGTCTTTGTGATTGATCATAACCAATTGTCAGCGCCTAATACTTTATACATATCCGCGTGTTGTCGCGACAGTTACGATTGGCACCCACTGGAGAGGAAGCATCCATGTGTAAGGAAAAAAAGTTTTGATTTAGAAATAATTAAAACGTGCTCGGATACAAAGTAGAGAAGTTATCGCAGGAGCTGCATGCGTAGTTGCTATAATATAGAATGCGGTTTTCAAAAGAGCTTGAGGGGACAGTTTATAAACGACTTTGTCCTAGTAAAACTCCAAATTTTGAGGCTTTACATCAGGCGGCCGGTCAACACCTACCCACATGAGGGAATGCCTCAACGATGGATACCACATGAGTTCACCGAGTACCGACGGATAACTCATATCCCTCACCGTAGACCCCCCTTAAAAGAGTCTGGAAACCAACCGTTTTTTGACTGGATTGTTAAGTGTGATGTATAGTAGGTGCTGCATGATGATCAGAAGGAAATTGGACGTCAACGTGTCAAGCAGTTTAAGGGAACGTGCTTTCAAAATGCAGATCCTCAAATTAGGTATAGAGAATAGCACTACGCTAACTTATGGGATTTTACTTTCAAACCACCACTATAGTTACCACCTAACATTCAAAGAGTATTACGCCATCTCGACAAGAAAATGCTTCGACAACGATAAAACCGTCCAAAAACTTTCCAAATAAGAACTAACAAAACCATTTACAGCGCTGCTTTCTGTTTTTGGCTTTTCGGACCTATGAGCGTTTCGGACTAAAATCTCGATGGCCAGAAACTCTCCAAACTTATTCATTCAAGACGCACTACTCCAACTGCATTAAAGTTATAATTTGAAAGTCTAAAATGAACATAGTGACTTTTCTCTCCTTATACAAACAATCTAAAGATTACTATAAAGTAGAAGTAAATATAAATTCTTACTATTATCGACAACAGGATCCTCATATTTTTACAGACAAAATTTCCATTTTGATCTGCCTCCAACAAAATAACAATTAACAACAACATCAGAAACAAAAACAACAACAAAATTAGGATTTAACGTTCACAAAATAACTGGAGATCAATCTACGATACTCTGTAACAATTAAAAAATTTAAAAGTCTTCAATCTCCAAACATGTCAAAAAATAAGAACTAAATGAAACAATGACTTTCTTATCCTATCAAATAAAATATACCATTTCTATAAGCTAGGAAGTTATATTTACACAATGTCATTAGATTAAAAGTTTGCAACTCTCGCACAAAAGAACAATCCAAGGATTAGTCAGCCAGAGAGTCAAACGTAATCGTCCGCAATTTCTTTCCCAAAATTTTGCCTTATAATACTCAGCACCTTATCACATTGATCCTCTACTTTCTTATTCTCATCTGTAAAACATATATCAACAAAATCAAAACATCTGTTCTGAAAAACGACGGGCACTTGCTGGTCAGTTTAAATACTGCTTAAGACAAGAAATAAAAAAAAATTAAGTTACCATCACCTTCTAACAGTTCGCTTAAAAATGGTAGGACAGAAGGTAACAGTGGCGCTACCGCTTCCCCCATTTTGGAAAACATATGTTCCAAAAGAAGCAGTGTACGATATCTCACCTATAAAAAAGTATGCATCAACAACAGCACAAAATCACGATCTGAAATTCTATCGCAAGAAAAATCTTAGTTTCCTTAAGTGGAAGGATGTAAAACTTATCAAGGAATACGCAAACGCACTCTAGCAGAAGCATCTCTAGTTTTCAGCATAATCTTTGCGAAGACGTCAGAAACCAAGTCATTACAAGTATCAGCGACATTATAGAGGCAATCAGCGAGATGTGGTGAACAGCGTCCTTCATGACCAGATATCGCTGTATTTTCGAGCTCATCTACCAGAGATTCCAGAACCATTTTTGCCCGTTCACTTAATTAATACAAAAATTATGCAGCTTCGTGAAACTTTGAAAAGTTAAACTTTTTGTCCCATCTAAATAAAACCACCATTCCGATAGCCCCATAAAAACTCATATAAAACAAACCTTGTGAAAAACTCTTGGTGTTTAGCACATTTTCCAACAAAATCAATAACTAAAGTAATAAGCGAATCACCTTCCAATGCTTCAAATGTCCCTTTTTTTCCAAAGAATAACAGAGAGTCAATATCTAAAAGATGCAGGAACAATCCGGAACGCACAAAACATCTAACCTTTTTCAGGCAATAATAAAGGCTTTTGAGTCAGAAGAATTGATGAAACACTAAAAAAACTCGCAAGCTTTGGACTAAGAAAACAATTTAGTAGAAAAATACCTGTTTTCCTACAATTCATTTCTGTAAGGATTCTAGGAGCTAATTCAAAAAAGCGTCCAACATGTGGTAAAGCAAGTGTGTTGTAGGTATCGTAAAACCTAAAACAAGAAAAATGCTCAAAGAACTAGGTAAGATACAAGTAAAAAGTGTACATCAGTTAACCTGTTAACAACGCTGAAGGCAGTAACAATAAATGAACGATCTTCTTTATTCGTGCGAAATCCTACAGCTGGTTCTATCCACTTCAACAACTCACTAACAATGGGCCTGACGTCGTTTTCAGACAAGCACTCCATCACAGACATTAGTGAGTTGATCATACGCCCTTCGCAATCAACCATAACCTCATACATCTGAAAGTGATTTACTGTACCAAATTTAAATCCCTTCTTATAAAAAAATCTATTTTTTAAGCTCATCAAAGAATACCTCAGCAGTAGGGTTAAGAGCTCGAAGACGAAAAGCAGCAAACATAAACTTGCAAAACGCTCCAAGTACTTTCACTACCGATGATCTTTCTTTAATCTCCAAACACGAACAGTAAAGGGAGAAAAGGTAGACCAAAGCCTTCTAAAAAACAACTTCAAAAATTTTTCGTAATTCGTAAAATAAAAACAAGGTAATGCTACTGGCCCTTCATTTGCAGTCTAAGTTCAGTAACGTTTTGCAGAAGATGAGAACAGGAAAATTACTTCGAGGAACTAGAGGAGTTAATTAAATTTTCCATATTCACAAAAAAAAATCTTCAATACGAAAGTAAGTTACTGGCTGTTTCAACAGCTCTTGGCAGGATTCCTCAAATGGTTTTACAACAAGCCGTAACTCTGATTTGGCTAAGATCTTTCGTATCTGGCAAATCCTAGTAAGCACTGGTGATGGCTTGACTGCAGCAGACTTATCGCCAGGAGCAATCTGGAAATGAACTCTTATTAAAACTGTGCAGAAATGTTTTGTCTTGGTAAGAAAGCTAGCGTAACGTTATCGTATCCCTTGAAAAGGATATTACCACTTCAAAAAGAGAATCGTAGCGAGCGCATAACTGCGACATTATCACGAAAATAGTAGTAAAATGAGCAGAAATGTATTGGCCAAATTGATCCAGTATTCGGTGTAGACAAGTCAAAGCACAAACTAGACATGCGTCTCCACCTGCATATTAAGTACTTACGCAATTACTAGTAAAAAAGATAATTTGAATATATATCTTAATTAATAAAAATCTTTGTTACTTTTCCGGCAGTAGAAAAGTAAGATAAAACTCACTGATTCGACGACCACTCATTGACTGCTGAGCAATACGTTTTCTTCTTTCACTACGACTTTCAATCTTCTGAGACCCAGATTCTTCTAAATCGGCAGCCTTTGAAGGCAAATTGCTATCTAACTGCTGTGTTATAGTTTCCAAACATATGCGGACAACTGCGTCTGAAGCCAAAAGAGTAGCACGCATGTTATGAGACTTGAACAGTTCGGCTACGAGAAGGAAAATATTTCCCACCATAACCTCATCTAAACTACGCCACCGTTCCAGCTGAAAATAAGTAGTATTGGAAAAGTAAATAAAGAGGAGATTGTATTAAAACACCAATCTTCACAGTTTGTCTTCTGAAAAAGAGAAATAAACTACATGTCAGAGCTCAGGATGGTGCAGTGTGTATCTTATATGCCCTATCCCGGTCTCAACAAGACTCCATTCTAGCTTTATCCTGTAAAAGTGTTTGAAGTCCTTCTGGCTAGCAAGTGCTGGTCCTCTAACGGCTGAAATAAATGACAACGAAAGCCCCTTAAGCATTGTCTAGGTCCGATAAAGACCATTTCGAGATCTCCACGTCTACCATCCTCACAGACTACATTGCAGCCCGTCAATAAAGGATAGTATTGAAAAACCAACGATCAAGTAGAAGAGTTGCAAGTAAACTGTATATTCAAAAATAATGACCAAAATGGGTACTGCAAGATCATTATAAGACTCGCCAGCAGCGCATTCAGCAAAAACTCGAGGATCCTCGTCAGTAAGCCCTTCAGTAGTAGTGCCAGAATTTTATTGATTTTTATCCTCCCCCTCTATCTCTCCTTTAAAAACACTGACCAGCCTGAAGAGATCCTATGAAATGCCTCTTGGTTTTTTAAAACACTTGGTATATTTCTCGAAGTTGAAAGCCACTGATTTTATCTGACTTTCTTAAAAAATAACACTCGTTTGTTCAAAGCTTTTAAGCTAAACGCGCCTAAGAAAACACTATCAAAAACAAGAAAAATCCCTTTAAACATAAATATTTTTTAGCGCTGAGTCCTCTGATTTTCAGAGCCTTACTGTTGGTGAGAATCAAAGAAAGCATTTAGGGGAGCCATCTTGACCTCGCAACATTTTTCCTTCCGTGTTAGCAAATTTATTAACATCTTTTCTGACTTTATTAGCCAGTTAGAATTCTAAAAATTCTACTTTTAATTTAGCTCCGACCTTTCAACAAAAGAGGCAGTTAAAGTGAGTTAAAACTTATACGAAACTAGTCTCAACGAAAGTGACTATCAAAAACTCACAATATTGAGGCACTGCTCAACACACTCCGTCAAAACAGATGAACTTTCTGCCGTCGGTAGCCTTCTCGCCAAAAGGCGTAAAGTGAAAGCGGCATTCTGACAAAGTGCAACCTAAAAGTGTGCTTAAAACACCAATCCAATTGAACTGAATGATACTATTTCTCAAAAGCTACAAACCAGCGAGAAAACACAGAAGGCCATTAAACGAAAGCTGTCTTGTATATATCCAAGTAGAAAAACATACCTCGTCTTTAGCTTCGGCAGGCTGAATCCATGCGACTAGCTTTCCAGCAAAGCTAATTAAGTGTTTTGTTTCAATTCCACCATCCTTGTGGAACACACCATCTTGCATCAGTTTTACGTTTAATAACTGCAAAGCCTTGTCACGCATTTTAGACTCAACATTTTCATCTGCTAATATATCAGCCACCAAACGACCACTAACGCTTGCAGGCAGTAGGTTCCGGAACTGAAAAACAAAAGTTTTAAAAAGATAATAGAACAACTATTTAGTGGAGTATGCATGCTTTTCCTCTCAATTTTTGGACGGTTAGCCAGCTTCAGCTGGTACTAAAAGGAATGAAATCTTGAAAGTAAGACAAGATAAAATTGTTCAGAATAAAAATTTACAAAAGAAATAAAATATGCAAATCGTCATAAGCAAATCGAAGTAATAAAAAGGAGCCAAAGTTCATAAGGTGAAGAAAAACATACAGAAGAATGAGAGAAAAAACAGATTACTATTAATAGCCTTGGCTAATAAACTAATAAATTGCTACAGTCTGTAAGTTTTTTTCAAAGGTTTAAACTACGAAGTAAATAAATTTCAAAAGAAAAAAGAAGTAATATAGGTAATAAAAATACAATATACAAGGTCATAACACAAAAATATTGACTAAAAAAGCTGTATTTTATACCTAGACTAAGCGTGCTTCGTATTCGTTCGCTTGGTTAGACCTATTACAAGAAGATGCGGCGACTAAATTATAACCCTAGCAAAACAATACATGTATTAGAAAAACTAGTACCTTTTCTGCCACAATATCCGCTCTTGAAGTAAAAGCTGTCCAGTATTTAAG